CTCAAGAGTAAGCTTTGCTTTCTTCTCTCTTCACCTTTTCTCCCCACCAGCCACCCTCTCCTTCCGTGCCCCCACCGCTCTTTCTTTCTAAAGAAAAAAGTGGTTAATACCAGAAGATGGAGAATTCTACCATGGCAATTATAAAAAAGATCCAGTGCCAATTCTAGAAATGAAATATGTGATATGAGAATTGAAGAACTTATTAGATGGTCTTAAACAACACCTACAGAGAGGGAAGAATCAGTAAATTATAAGATATGTCACTAGACAGTGTCCAAACTGGAAAGAGAGGATGTGTGAGACAATATCAAAGAATGTAACTAATGTGTAAAGGAAAGGAGGGACAGAGAATTGCACAAAGTAAATTTCTTAAGAGATGATAGCAGAGAACATTAAAAACTTGAAGAAAGAAATTAATAAATAGATCCAACTGCTCAGTAAATTCCAAGCAGGACATGGTGACTCATTAATTTTATTTTTATATACACAAATAATTGAACATATTGAGAACATTAAGAAGAACTCCAAAGGGAAAATTTTTCCTTATTACTCTTGTTGTATAATAATATAGGGAGCTTTAAATTTCAGTTTCAGACTATAGCTGCATCTTTCAGATTTGGCATCTAACAGTGACAGATGGCAATGTTAAAAATAAATAGAACATTCAAGTTGTTTATACTGTAGGCAAGACAGTTTTAAAGTGTGAAACAAGACTGAGGCTGACAGAATTCACATCACCCTTTACAAAATGTATTAAGAATGCACATTTCCCTATGCCAATCCTGCAATGCTGCTCACAAAAGATAAAATATTAGCTTTTGAAGAGGTGCTGTCATTACTAATTTAGAATTGACAATGCCATACAGGTCCACTAATAGAAAACTATTTTCCAGAATTATCAATAACTGATTAACTTTCTCAAGTTTTAAAAGCTTCTGGAAGTTACCACAATTAGAAATGTCACTTTCTCATTCAAAACATGAGAAAGTATTTGATATAGTTTAATACCAATATTAAGCTAATTTTTAAAAACTCAGTGTACAGTATATCTGAGAGAAAATTACCAATGATGATGATTAATAACTAATAAAAGTTAAGCTTATACAGAGGGAATGCATAAAAATAATGCACAAGAAATCACCATAAATTTTTTATGTTAAATTAAAATTTAATAACTTCAAAATAGTGACCACAAAAACCTATGATCATCTCAAGAGATGGATAAAAAGTATTTTTTAAAAACGACCACCCTGTTATGATAAAATCACTCAATAAACAAGAATTAATTGGTACTTCCTGATAAAGGGCATCTACAAAAGCCCACAGCTAACATCTCAGTTAATGATGAATGAATGGATGCTTTCTCCTAAGTTCAAGAACAAGACAAAGATGCCCATTCTTGAAACCTATTCAACAATGTATTAGAGATTCTTCTGAAAGCTACTGGGCAAGAAAAAAGGAAAAACATCCAGGTTGGAAAGAAAGAAGTAAAAATATCTCTATTCACAGATGACATGATCTGGTATATAGAATATCCCAAGGAATACACTAAAAGAAAACTATTAGGATAAATATAATTGTATTTCTATGCACTTGCAATGAATAACATAATGAAATTTTTAAAAATTCTATTTATAATAACATCAAAAAGAAGAAAAATAAATTTAACAAAAGAAATGTAAAGCTTATACTCTGGAAAACTACAACATGTTCAACACAATTAAAGAAGGTCTAAATAATGGGAAAACATCCCATGGTCATAAATTGGAAGATTTAAAAAATATTGGTAAGATGGTAACACTTCCCAAATTGATATACAGATTCAATGCAATCCCTATCGGCATCTAAGTTGACTTCGTTGAAAAAATTTAGCTGCTTCTAAAATTCATATGGAATTGCAAGTGACACAGAAAAGTCAAATCAATTCTGAATAAGAATAAAGTAGGACTTACCAATTGCAAATTTTACTAAAAAGCAACCGTTGCCATTGGCAACAACATGGATAGATGTTGAGATTATTGTGCTAAGCGAAATAAGTCAGACAGAAAAAGTCAAGAACCATATGACTTCACTTATATGTGGGATATGAAACTAAAAGGAACAAGACAAACAAATAAAGAAAAAAAAACCTCAGACACAGACAGTTCAGTAGTTAACGGAGGGTAATTGGAGAAGGGGGATGGTAGCAAAGGGAAAAGGGGGTCAAACACATGGTGATGGAAGGAGAGCTGACTCTGGGTGGTGAGCATACAATGTGATATATAGATGACGTATTATAGAATTGTACACTTGAAACCTATGTCATTTTACTAACCATTGTCACCCCAATAAATTTAATTTAAAAAAAAAGACAGGGTGATACTGGCATAAGAAAAGACATATAGTTAGATCAAAGGAATAGAACCGACAGTCCAGAAATAAATTCATGTGTCTAAGGTCAATTGATTTTCTACAAGGGAGTCACGCCAATTTAACGAGGAAGGAGTAATCTTTTCAACAAATAGTGCTGGGACGATTGGTATCCAATAGAGTTGTACTTTGTTCCAAACATAAAAATTTACTAAAATTGATCAAAGGCTAAAATACAAGATCTAAAACTATACATTTCTTAGAAGAACACTTAGGAGTAAATCTTGACCTTGGGTTAACCAAAGCCCTCTTAGATAACACACCAAAAGAATAAGCAACAAAAGAAAAAATGATTGAACTTCACCAAAATTAAAAACTTTTATGCTTCAATGGATACCATTAAGAAAGGGAAAGACCATGCACAGAAAACATTTGCAAACCATATTATGTGATAAAGAATTTGTATCAAGAAATGTATATAAAAACACAACTCAACAATAGAGACAACACAAAAAATAGGCAAAGGATCTAAATTGACATTTATCCAAAGATAAACAAATGAATAATAAGCACATAAAAAGATGTTCAACATTCTTAGCCATGAGGGAAATTAAAATCTAAACATCAAAGATATACCACTTCATACCCACTAAATGGCAAGTACAAAACAAACAAACAAAAAAACAAAACAATAACTAGGATATGGAGCAACTGGAATGCTCATGTATTCCTGCTGGCATTGCTGGCATTGTAAAATGGTGCACCTACTTTGTAAACCCCTCTGGCAGTTCCTCAAAAGGTTAAACAGAGTTACCATATGATTAAGCAATTCTACTCCTAGATATATTAGGAGATTAAAATATATCCACATAAAAACTTGTACACAAATGTTCACAGAAGCATTATTCATAATAGCCCAAAATGGAAACAACCCCAAATAAATGGATAAATAAAATATGGTATATCCATACAAAGGAATATTATTTAGCCATAAAAAAGGAATGAAGTACTAATACCTAAATGAACCTTTAAACAGCGGTTCTCAACCTGTGGGTTGCAACCCCTTTGGGGGTCGAATGACCCTTTCACAGGGGTCACCTAAGACCATCGGAAAACAAAAAGATACTTACATTACGATTCATAACAGTAGCAAAATTACAGTTATAGAGTAGCAACGAAAATAATTTTATGGTTGGGGGTCACCACAACATGAGGAACTGTATTAAGGGGTCGCGGCATTAGGAAGGTTGAGAACTGCTGCTTTAAAACATTATACTAAATGAAAGAAGCCAATCACAAAACATCACATATTGTATTATTCCATTTATGTGAAATGTCTAGAATAGGGAAATCTATAGAGACAGAAAATAGATTAGCAGCTGCTTAGAGCAGGGAGGGAGTAGTTGGGGCAATGTCTTTAAGTTACTGATGCCATATTTAAAAAAAAAAGAAAGAAACCTACAGTCATTAGAACCACTAATAAACATTTATTGACCAACTACTCACTAAGGAAGTCTTTTTAATAAGTTTACCCTACTAAGGGGGTTTAACAGAGGATAAAAATGCCTTGAAAAGAGTGCGAGTCCTGACTCAAGTATAACTATAGAGAACACCGTTTTGAAGTATTTTTCTCTACTGAACAGTAAAGGTATTCTGTCTAAAAAATTTTAATTCCTATGGGAAAAATTGGAACACTGACTCCCTAACCTTCTATGAAGAAATAAGTTTTGTGAGGGGTTATTACTTAAATATTATTTAAATACTATAAACAAAGATGGTTTGATGTATGCTCTGAGGGCTGGCGTGGGAAAATACTAAATAAGGAAAGAATAAACTTTGTTTTTTCCTTATTCTTACACATAGATTCTAAACCTAGAAAATACGTTAAGGAAAACAGTACAAATAAATTCTGAGGCCCAGAAATTGTTTCTTTTTCTTTTATTGGGGGGAAAGGGGTAAAAGTATGATAGGGAAAACCAGAGGGAATTAATACAAGGAAAAATAAATTTAATTACTTCTTCTTCCCTCTAAAATCTGTTAGTCTTTATTTTCTTTTGAAAAATTTACAACACGTTAAAAAGTTTCAGACTAGATACTCTGTAGAATTTGCCAAAATTAAGTCGCCCCAATAAAAACAAAATTTTCCAATTTCTTGATTTTGAACCCCTATAATATTGCTTTTATTTGTAAAATTCTTCACATATTTATATAGCACTATAAATATACTATATAAGTAGTAAGAAATGCTGTTTAAAATACTTTTGATATTCACAGGCCCCATGAAAATATACATTCCCTTTATTTATTAATTTTCTGCTAATCATGCTGTCTCCATGTGAGTTCTTTAAAACTGCTATTTTCTTTTATCATTATATTGATTATAAGCTACATTCCTACTACATAATTGTAAAAAAATGACAAAGCTTAATGAAGCAATCAGTTCTTTAAAATTGTCAAAAATTTTAAATGCATGTAAACCTTTGTGAAATGATCAATAGAGACATAACAATATATTAAAAATCAAAACCATATAAAATTAAGAATGCATATTATGTCATTAAATACAAAGAACTATATACTTGTCGGAAGAGAAAAATCTGTATCTTTAAGCAGTTGATAAAATAACCACACTAATGAAAAAGTGTACTCACCTGGTTTTGGCACTGAATTGGTCACCGACTGGGGAACTTTCTGATTAATTAACTCAACGCAGTGTCCAGGGAAGAGTCCCACCTAAGGAAGAAAGGTAGCAAAGAGAGGATTCTAAACCAGAGAACAGACCAGTGTGTGAACACTGCCAATTCAATTCCAGTAATATACTCCACAGTCCCTCCCAAATGATTCTATCATTCCAAGATTCAAAATCACAGACAATGCCAATTATACAAACAACTAATAAAACAATCTGTTGCTATGAGTATATAGAGTTATGTATTTTATTTGTCCAAATATCTAAGTCTGCTGTTTTAGTTTTAGCTTTTAAATTCCCACACTTTTTATACCAATTAAAATATTTTGTCTGATACCAAGCTATGCATGCAGTAGGTATAATTTTTATTTCTCAATAATTTCTCTGCTAAAACATCCATATAGTTGTGTTGACATGTCTACTGCCAACTTTTATATTTATTTCTTCCCTATGACTTTTTAAAAACCTACATTAAACCACGTTCAAATATTTTGTAAATTTTCTTTTCATTATCTGATGGGTTTCATGAAAAATAACAAAACTAAAATAAATTTGTTAAACAATTGCTCATTTAAAATTCTGTTTTTTACTGTTGTTAAAGAGCTAGTAGTTCATGGATAAGTGGAAAAAGCGAGAGGAAAAAAAGAGCCAATCTCATCAGTGGTGAGAGAAATCAGGCTTTAAAAACACAACTCTTTAACCTGGTATAATAGAATTACTCATGGCATTAGGCCACATCCTAAGAAAGTCGAATGAATCCTAGGAAAATACTGAGTCCCAGATCACCCAGAGATATTGTACAGTGCAGCCAACAGAATGAATACAGAGATAAACAGCCTGGAAACAAAAGTAAAAGGGAAATCTTTACCAATATTTATAGATGTTTCCTTAGACAGTAACATAATTGAGCTGCCATGCAGCAGATGTTAAAGCTGAAACATTAAAACTAGATCACTTTGTACGTCCTTCTGCTGACAGACTCTGGGGAAGAATGGAATGGTCTTCCAACAGCATGACTCATCATGAAGTTCTGCGCTGTATAACTTCCATCTGCGTGGGATTATTTTCACATACTCAACTGCTGTATTATTACTATTTCAATTTCTGGATCAATAATCTATGGTAGTTCTTAAAATTATAAAGATGTAACCAGTTATCATGAGCTGAAAAGGGGTTATTAATAATTATCAGTTTTGTTTGAAAGATATGAATTTGAGATTATTAAAAGTCCCTATGCATTGCCTTCCAAAATGAGACCTTATGGTTTGTTTTTGGTGAAATCCTATACCATATTTTACTGAACTTCCTATTTAACTAGACAGTTCTTCCAAGATTTAAACCCAGATAAGAATCAACTGGAAAAATCCATCTCATTCCCTCTTACACAAATCAGTTATTATGAGAGGGGCTGTGGTATGATGTTTAACAGTGTAGCCTAAAGAAAGTGTGCCTGGGTTCAATTCCACATCTGCCACTTACTAGATCAGGTTTGTAACTTGGCCTCTCTGTTTTAGTATATTCACGTAAACATAATAATAGTATCTAGCTCATAAGGGTTGTTATGAGAATTAAATAGATCAGTATAAGCAAAAAATATATATAGTAAGCACTCAAATGTTATCTATTATCCCAGTATGTCAGCAACTAGAAGACCTAGAGGGCTCCACCTCTTCTATTAAATGGATATGACACATAATACTTACCACCTTTTGCATGTGTGTACTTAAGTTCCCTCACTATCAAATATCATTATTTCCATAAAAGTCTACTTCATTTCAATTTATAAACATTTTCTGCAGTTTGCTAATGGAGAAAAGACAAGGATCTAAACATGGCTCACCCATTTATCAAAGCTCTGTGATCTGGAGCAAATTGCTTAACCTTTGTCTCAGTTTCTTAAATTTGTAAAAATGGGGACGTTAGATACCTCAATAATTGTGGGTAGGCCACTAGTCTAGTTTCTAAATTCAAATGTCTTTCAGCAAATAAAAAGTAGTTTTCCATTACTTCTTCACAAAGACTGAACAAAGCTTAATAAACGTCTTTGGGGAAGTATATAATAAATATTAGTTATATTTTTACCTTTTTGTCTCAATGTATTACGTTTAAATATATGAGGGAATATACTACGAGTATTGTGTACTATGTAGAAGTCTATAGTAGGTTTATCTAATGCCTAACTCCAATCCCTGCTCACTCGTCTTCCTTTATTATAAAGCATAATATTACTAAATATTAGCCTAAGTAAATATTCACTTTTCTAGACTCCACGGATCCAGGTGTAGCCATGACACATGTAAACACAGCTCTACTTCAGCTACTCTGTCTCCTTTCTGCTGTGAACGCAGGCATCAAGTTTGGATTTGTAGGAGCCATCATTTGACCTTAAAAGAAAGGCCAAGAGCATCTTAGAGGCTTCTGCCTGGCATCATCAAAGCGGCCGACTCAACAGTAACAATCAGTTGACTTTTCTGTTTATTTTTCTGTTTCTTGAAGCCCAAAGAACTCCTAACCATTAAGGCTTTTTTCCTTTTTTAAAAATTTAAAAAACTTGATTGTATAAATTTGTGAAAGGCAAAGAGGGTGTATTTTCTTATTCAAAAATTCCATGATAGGGAGTGATGTCAGCATCATGGGGGAGTGAGAAGACTATTTTCTATGTCCCCTTAAATTTACAACAAGTTGGACATCTATAATCCAACAAAGGTTCCTCTCCTCAACACACAAACACGCCTGAGAAATCCATGCATGGGTACAAATGAATGTGGGCATATTGAAATGCATAGAAGAGACAGGACAAGGGAAAGGACAAGGATGGTGTCCATGTACACATTTTGGTGCCCCCTGTGGCCCCAGCTAACTGGTAGCAGTGGAGGAGCTGGGGTGCAGCCTCCACACTATGGCCTCGTGGAGGGTAAAAGGGGCAAAAGGTGTGTATGAGCCGGCTCCATTCCCCGCCCCTTGCATTGCAAAGGAACATTCTAGGAGCAAAGGAGATGCATCTATGGCCCCCAGGCTACAGCACAGCAGTGCTGGCAACCATAAGGAACAAGGGAACAGCACAAGGTACTCACAAACTCGGTTCCTTCTCCATCAGACATATCCCCCCACCATGGTAGTGGTGCCCCCAGATGGAGGCGACACAACACAATGAAAATCCCCAGCATCCAGGTCACCCTGGTGTCAATTTCCACAACCACAGTGATGTTCCCCCATCAGAACCCCCAAAGGCACAAGTAGCACAGGTAAGACAAAACAGAAACTTGATCACCATCTACTGGAAAGCAAAAGAAAAATCTCTAATTATCTTTTTTATTTATTTTTATTTTTTTTTGGCTGAGCCATCTTGCCACCTGTTGGCAGCTCAGCGGCAGCTCAGCTCAGGCCGGACTCAAACCGCTGTTGCTCAGAGCTCAAACTCTTGAGCGAGCTCTTAACTAACTGAGCCACTCAGCCGGCCCAAAATCTCTAATTATCAACCTGCTGAACTGATAAGATCAAAATGATACCTCAACAAGAAAAGAGTGCCATTACCTCAAATGCGGAGGCAGAGGAACAACCCATCAAGTACCATGAACAACCATGGTAACACGGTAACACAGAAAGGAAATTACAATTCTCCAGAAACCAAATTCAAAGTCAAAAGAGGCTGTGATTTGAATGACAGACAATTCAAGTTTGCAGTGATGAAGGAACTCAGTGACATACAATGAAACTCAGAAAGGCCGTTAACTGAGCGCAGGAATAAAATTAATGAACAGAAAGATATTTTACCAAAGAGACTGATACTCTGAAAGAAAATCAAACAGGCATCCTGGAGCTGAAGAACTCAATAAATGAGATGAAGAATGGATTAGGAAGGACTGGGAACAGAGAAAACCATATGGAAGAGAATTAGCAAGCTCAAAAATATAAACCTAGAAATAGTTCAGGTAGGACAAGAGAGAGAACTAAGATTTTCTTTTTTAATGAAAGAACTCTATAAGAACTATGTGATTCCATTGGAAAGAGTAACATAAGAATAAAGGGTATCCTGGGCCGGCCAAGTGGCACGTTGGTTAAGAGTTGGTTTGGGACACCAGCTCTGAGCAGCAGGGCCCCGGTTCAGGTCCCACATGAGGGCCAATGACACTGCCCCCTACAGCTAAGATGGTGAACAACAGCTCGACCTGGAGCTGGGCTGCCGTGAGTCGCCGGTGACAGCGTAGGCTGCAGCATCAGGGCCAGTGAAGCAACATCCTCCACAACTAGACTGAAGAACAAAAGGACAGCAACTTGTCTGTTCCCCTTTCCCGATTCACCAACGCTGTTCCCCTTCCCCAACTCCCCAATAAAATCTTTAAAAAAAAGAATAATGGGTATCCCAGAAGGAGAAGAGAGGGAGAAGGGAACTGAAAGCCTCTTAAAAAAATGATTGATGAGAATTTCCCTAACCTAGGGAAGAAACTGAACATTAATATAAAAGAAGCTAACAGAACACCTAACTATCTCAACACAAAAAGACCTTCTCCAAGACACATTATATTAAAACTGCCAAAAGTTAAAGATTAAAAAAAAAAATTTCTCTAGGCAGCCAGGGGAAAAAAGACAGTAGCTTACAAAGGAAATACTACCAGATTTCTCAGTAGAACCACTACAAAGTCAGGAGAAAGTGGAATGATATATTCAAAATATTAAAAGACAGAAACCACTAGCCAAGAATACTATATCTAGAAAAGCTGTCCTTTAAATATAAAGAATAAAGACTTTCCCAGACCAAAAAAAACCACCTGAGATAATTTATCAACACAAGACCTACATTACATGAAACGTTGAAAGGATCTCTTCTACCTATCACAAAAAGACAAAATTAACAAAACTTTGAGTAAGGTGACAAAGAGACAGAAGCAGGAATTTGCAACTCTGTTTCAGAATAGAGAATTAAACATTTAATTATAACTAAGGTTAAAGGGAATAAAGCATTAAAAATAACAATAGCTACTGTAATTTGGTAATAAACACATAATATAAAAGGAATAATTTGTGACAACAAAAAAAGTAAAGG